GTCATGAGCAGAGACGTGGTAGGAGTCATGAGCGGAGCTGTGCTATTGCAACAGCCAGGAGCTGCAGAAAGGCAGGGAAGCAGTGAGTTCATTTACTTAAACTGCCTTCCCCTGACCAGCTCTGTTTGGTAACTCCCTGCTGTGGAACAGCAGTCTGCTTGTGCGGTTTTGGTTTATGTGGTTTGCTGATCTTTCCCCTGGGTAGGTGGTTCAGCTACAGAGCCAGCATCAGTGGCCTTCTGAGAGATTGCGTTGCTGATTTGTTAATGTCACACAATTCACTCCATACTTGTGTTCCATGTTCTGATTTAAAGCAGAACTCCATGACTAACAAACATTTAATCACTGATATAATCAATATCACCTAATTCCACATAGGTTGGAGATGGGCCCAGACCAGAACCCAAGGCCCAAAGACTCTTAGTCTAAGTTTGGATCCAGACTTACCAGTTGGCCTCTTTTATCTGTAAAACAAGCTGTACCAAAATCTTAGAACCAAATACCCCTGAACTCTGGTTCAGACCCAAACGAGGCAGCTCAGGACCATTCTTAACAGACAGGATGGGTAGCTTTACACTGAGTTCAATAGTCAGGGTCTTTTTCTCATTATTTGGAATGACCAGAGCCACTGTTCAGCCAAGCCCCTCCGATGTCGAATCCCTACTTCCCAGCTTACTCTGACAAAAAGGACAGTGCACGAGAGACAATTTTTTCTAAGCATTGAAGAGGCAATGTAATTTAAAATTAGGCTTCAATAAAGACACAGGGTAGGCTTGATTCTTCTTTCCTAGGCGAGGCGATCTAATCCAAGTGAGTTATGCTAGTGTAAAACTGGTCGAGAATCAGATCCTTCTTTTTTTTTAAATCTACTTTTCGAAATTCCCTTGCAACCACTACCCTCTTGTGGTGAGTTTTCATCCCTGGTCCAAGTCAATTTTTTCCTACTTTATTTTAAAGCAAACAACAGAGGTAAATATATGCTTCAGACGCTCGGGAAGGTGCACTGACCTTTACGGTTGCTATTCAGAAAGTATTTTCAGGTAGGAATAAGAGATCCTCCGGGAAAGGGCTTTATTCCAGAGGATCGTGCCAGTCTAGACGCTCTTTTCCGGCTTTTCCCCAAGCCGGAAAAAAAGCGGCGGCCATGTTTATTTAAATCCCGCAGGGGATATTTAAATCCCCCGCAGATTTCCCTATTCCAGAGTTGGAAATTAGCATGGCTATTTCGGAATAGGGGCCAGTCTAGACGTAGCCTGAGAGTTTTAAAGACTAGTAACATGCCCACTCACCAGTGTGTGCGGCTCACAATTCCCTAAAATCGCTCTAACACTAGGCAGAGTAAACACTGCAGCAAACTTTATTGTGCAACATTATAAGATTTACCCAGAGTTGCTCAGGGCTTCAATTCAATTCATTTGTGAGTTTTGGAAAACATAATTAAAATGTCCAGGCTTCATTGAAATGAGTGCTCTGGGCTGGGGCTGAGGGGTTCAGTAGCAGGCTGCTCCAGAGAGAGAGGATAACCCCAGCAGCTCAGAGTGCTCCAGGGAGAGAGGATAACCCCAGCACCTCAGAGCCAGGTGAGAAGCACCTCTCCATGGCCACTGCAGCTCCAGGGGGCACATCCAGGGGAGGGATGCATGATCCCCAGCTGGAGCAGGTCCAGGTTCTTCTGCCCTCTACACTCCCCAGGGAAAGCAAGGCAGTTTGCTGCATTCACTTTCCCCTCACTCTCTACAAAAGGGAGCAGCCACCAATGTTCCTAAAGCACAGGGGAGGTTGTGGGAGTGTAACCCAGTGTGAACCACCACCACAGCACCTCCTGCTAGACACTTGAGGAAATAGCTCAATTCAGCCCTTTCTGACTAGTGTCTGACCTGTTTGTTCTCCATCTTGCATCAAGACCCACATCCTTCCCAGGCTGCAGAACCTTTCCCTCAGGGTATTGCCCTGCCACAGGGCCCCCACACTCTGGGGTCCTCCCAGTCCCTTATGCCACCTTGCCTCATCAGCCTATTGCCAGTTACCATCTAGCCCCTACTCCTAGGGCCAGCTGCAGCCTGAAATAGCCACACATCATGGGCAAGGAGGTGGGCCTACTTCTGCCCTAGTAGCCTTAGGCCTTGAGAGCAAGGCCTCAGCCTGGGAGCTCCCCTGGCTACAGATTCCCCAGCCCAGCTTTGTCAGGTAGCCTTAATTACATCCCTCACCTCCCAGCCCAACACCCCAGCTAGATCATCTCTCTCTCCTCTGTGCCAGGAGCCCTCATTTATACCTCCCTCAGCTGGGCCCTGATTGGCTGACACTGCCACACCTGCCGGCTCCACCCCTCAGCCCTCACCAGAGGCTGAGTTTAACCCTTGCTAGGCCAGTGCAGGGCAGACGCCCTGTCACGCAAGGTGGCGGCCTCTTGCCCCACTCCTCTGAGGGAGTGGGCTGTGCCCATGCCAGCTCATGCTGCCCTCTGTGTAGGTTTCTGCTCATCACTGAGGGGCCACGGGAGCCCTGTTGTTTGGCCTGCCCTGTGTCTACGGTGCACACAGATGTAGGGGGACAACTAGACACAATATTAACGGAGCAGCCCCGGGGGCGGGGAACCTTTTTTGGGTCGGGCACCATGCACAAGGGGGAGGCAGAACAAGCCGCCCAGTGACGCCCTCCAGTGATGCCCCCCAGTGATGCGCCCTCCTAGTGACACGCCCCCCAGTGATGTGCCCGCCTAGTGACACGCCCCCAGTGATGTGCCCCCCTAGTGA